AATGTATTATTTATTTATTTATTACGGATGCAATAAAAAGCTTTTTTTAAATTTATTTTTTTATTTATACCAATCGGATAAAGGTGCAAGTAATTTGCAAGTGGAGGTGCAAATATTTAATAGTTTAGTGCTAGTGGCTATACGGACGAGCGTACTGATGTATTTATTGGCATCGAGTGCGCTCGTGGCGTTGGCGCTTGAAGTCGTCGTGGCCTAAAGGATAAGACGTCCGGTGCATTCGTGTTGAAGCGATGCATCGGTGTTCGAATCCCGCAGGCGGGTACCAACTTTTCTAATGAAATACGTACTCAACAAATGTTCACGATTGACTTCCACGGTGAAGGAATAACATCGTGTAATTAAAATCAAACCCGCAAAATTATAATTTGCGTAATTACTGGTGGTAGGACCTCTTGTGAGTCCGCACGGGTGGGTACCACCGCCCCGCCTATTTCTGCCGTGAAGCAGTAATGCGTTTCGGTTTGAANCCCGCCTATTTCTGCCGTGAAGCAGTAATGCGTTTCGGTTTGAAGGGTGGGGCAGCCGTTGTAACTACACTGAGACCTTAGAACTTATATCTCAAGGTGTGTGGCGCATTTACGTTGTAGATGTCTATGGGTTCCAGTAACCACTTAACACCAGGTGGACTGCGAGCTCGTCCACACATCTAGGCAATAAAAAAAAAAAAAAAAAAAAAAAAAATCGTGCCGGATTTCAGATCAAACGGAATTTTTAATGCAAATACAGACATAGCACGCGACGTCGTTTACGAGAATTTTCTTGGTACCTACTGAAGCTATATAAACTGCAAACCAGTACACGGATTTATAAACGAAATACCAGAGGAAGAGATGGACAATGAAGCTGAAAACTCAACCAAATTCAGTCAAAAAAAATTTGGAAAAGCAATTTCCAATAAGTGTGCTTAGTGCGAGCTTTTTAACGTTCTCGATAGCGTAAAAGTTAGCTCTAATTTGTATGGAGTTGGAACGTTTGCCTACCTTTTATCACCGGTACATTTTATCATCGGTATTCAGATTTGTCAAAATATTCCCGCGGATTTACCAGAAATTTACTGGTGGTAGGACGTCTTGTGAATCCGCACGAGTAGGTACCACCACCTTGCCTATTTCTGCCGTGAAGCAGTAATGCGTTCCGGTTTGAAGGGTGGGGCAGCCGTTGTACTGTAACAGCTGAGACCTAAGGACTTCGGTAACCAATTAGCACCAGGTGGGCCGTGAGCTCGTCTATCCACCAAATCAATAAATAAATAAAACGCATTTCCTGACGATTCCGAAATAAAGAAATCAACGCAACGGATCGAGCCATTCTCGAATGTTCTGTCGTATGACATTACATGCTCGATAAAAAGAAAAATTGTAGTTGTGGATTCTGCGAAGCCCTGTTCTTGCTAGGGCCTGCGCTAGCAAATTTTCTCAGGTTGAGTTCGTGAGCTCACCTACCTGTCCGTAGCTGGAATAGCCCCTTAGGCTACCAGTAATTATTTTTTGTTCTACAGGAGAAAATCGCCGCATCCCTATCCACGCAGCGGGTGGGTCATGTGGGGGTTGAACCTCACTAAAAACTCCGCCGCTCACAGCCGGCGCCCTACCCCGGATCGGGCCGGAGTCCAGTCGAAGTTATTGAGACGGCGGGACAGGGCTTACGCAGAGCATATTACATCCCCCAAGGCTATCAGTAATGAGGTATGAAAAAAAACTGACAGTGGTTTTCCTCTGCACAAACATACAATTAGCGCCATCTATACAAGCTACAACGCGTTCTGTATTCAATAAGTTTTAGAATGTTGTTTCTGATTCCGACTATAGTTAATAGAAAATATTTAAGATTACGACTGAATCATAGGTGAAATACACATGACTATGTCGTCAGCCTGCCATATAGGAGTATACATAAATTAAATTGATTTTTCAATCGAAATTAAAAGTAAAATGAGAGCAATCAATCAAATTTTTGAATCTCTGTAAAGCGTAAGTTGTTTGTTAAAAACTTTACCTATAATATTGTCACTGTATTATTTGGAAATGAGGTAGGACTATGATTTTTTTGACGCAGGAGCACGCCTATACTGTGTCTTGGATATTACTGGTTTATGTATTCACATATCTATCATTAAATTGTAGTTAAATGTATTTCACATGTTATTTATCACAAATATATTAATAAATACATACATATGTAAATTTTATTTATTGGCAGTCTATTTGTTTAATATAATTTACATAAGTATTTAATAGATGGCATGTTGTGTACGTCTATATTATGTCTAGTTTATTCTGGAATGAGATGAGCTGTTATTCTATGATTAAATCTAAGAAATATTTTGTTGAACCAACTCGCGCCATCTATCGCAAGTTAATGGTTTAGAAGTCGTCGTGGCCTAAAGGATAAGACGTCCGGTGCATTCGTATGAAGCGATGCACCGGTGTTCGAATCCCGCAGGCGGGTACCAATTTTTCTAATGAAATACGTACTCAACAAATGTTAACGATTTACTTCCACGGTGAAGGAATAACATCGTGTAATAAAAATGAAACCCGCAAAATTATAATTTGCGTAATTACTGGTGGTAGGACCTCTTGGGAGTCCACACGGGTAGGTACCACCACCCCGCCTATTTCCGCCGTGAAGCAGTAATGCGTTTCGGTTCGAAGGGTGGGGTAGTCGTTGTAACTATACTGGGACCTTAGAACTTATATCTCGAGGTGGGTGGCGCATTTACGTTGTAGGTGTCTATGGGTTCCAGTAACCACTTAACATCAGGTGGGCTGTGAGCTCGTCCACCCATCTAAGCAATTAAAAAAAAAAAAATTAAAACTAGCCACTAGCTAGAATGCTTCCCGGATTTACCGTCAATATTTTGTACAAAGCTTCGATAATTCGATAAAGCGACGAATTGGACACAAACAAACAATCACATTTAGTGAGTACGTAATTTATTGGTCGCATAAAATTCCATTACTAAGATCTGTCTTTCATCAACGGTGCTTGGAGATAAGTTGTTGTGTAATGCTAAGCGGTCACATGATCCGTTTTGCATGGTCCATGAGGCATGATCCCGAAGCTATTGAGTTGGTTGTTGCGTCCTGACGTAGAATGAGGAGATGGGAAGGACCCGATAACCAATTGGCATCTTTTGGGTAATACCACCACTCTGACTATTTCCGTAGGTATCGTACAAGCTCTTTAAGGGGGCTCCAGCTGAGATTGGGTTTTTTTTAACCCTACCTATTCTAGTAACCGCGAGGGGCTATTCTAGATTAATAGTAGGTGAACTTAGGAGGTTCAAACCTGACGTCGTTGCTAACACTAACCCTAGCAAGAGCAGTGCTTCGCAGAATCTACCACCGGATCGGTAACGCGACCCACTGAGAAGATCCGGCGAGTAACTCAGTGGGCGAAGATTAGCATTGGCTTTCTCTGAGCATTAAAACCAGCAAACTCAGATCGTCCCCACGGTAATTATTGGTAGGTCATATTTTGAAGTCGTATTGCTTGAACGGACGAATGAGTTTCCCGAGAACCCACTCTTATCAGAATACTAGCTGTACCCGTCCGCTTCGCTGGGCATTAAAAATTAACATAATCATTTCTCACCCCCACAAAGATTTTCATCATTAACGCCCCCGCAACTGGTGTAGGGAGTCCAACACTCATATTAAATATTAGACTATCCATTAAGTACATGTATTTTCTACATGGATACCAACTTTCAAGTCAATCGGATGCATGGTTCATTAGTTATAACGGAACATCCGTAAAAACCACTGTAGATTTATATATTAGTATAGAAGTATAGATTTATGTTATCGAATACCTTGAGACATGAGGTCTAAGGTCTCACCTGTATATATAGACTGTCCCACACTTTCAAACGGTTATGTATTCGCCGCAGAAATAAGCGAGATGGAATTTACATATCTATGTGGTTTTAAATTACCCTCCAATATTATATAGTAATTATGCAAATAATTTTCTTTGCGAGTTTGATAATTAATTTAATTTGACAACGTTTTAATTTATTCCACCGCGGAAAACAATATTATTTGATTAGAAAAATCAAACCCGCCTGTGGGATTCGAACTCGGGTCCATAGAGTTGTAAGACGGAGTTCTTTACAGTTACACCGAGCGCCTTATCTTCTAGGCCGCGACGACTTTTCTTTTGGAAGCAGATAACGAGATCACATTAAATAATTCATCAGTGATTTCCTCTATACATAGGTTCAAAAAAGAAAAAAGAAAAAAAACGTTCAACATTTTGCGACCGTGGCTAAACACATACGAGATTAGATACACAGATTCCGAATATGAAATAAATGTGCTTAATAAATGCATTGGCTCGGATTTAAGGCCCGGGTGGTACATTAAACGGGATCACTCACAACTAGCCGAATAGAATATCCTTGATAGAATTGAAGATTGATAGAATTGAATTTAAGAAGAAACAGAATTGAAAGAATATCTTTGATTCTTTTTTTTTTATTACTGAGATGGGTGGACGAGCTCACAGCCCACCTGGTGTTAAGTGGTTACTAGAGCCCATAGATATTTACAACGTAAATGCGCCACCCACCTTGAGATATAAGGTCTAAGGTCCTCTCCAAGCCGAAACGCATTACTGCTTCACGGCAGAAATAAGCAGGGCGGTGGTACCTATCCGGGCGGACTCACAAGAGGTCCTACCACCAGTAATTACGGAAATTATAATTTTGCTGGTCCTTCACCGTGGAAGTCAATCGTGAACATTTGAAAAGTACGTATTTCATTAGAAAAATTGGTACCCGCCTGCGGGATTCGAACACTGTTGCATCGCTCGATACGAATGCACCGGACGTCTTATCCTTTAGGCCACGACGACTTCGTAAATTCTCTCTGTCTATCCATCCCCCTGCTAAAAGTCGTCACGTTACACTCAAGTACACAATAACTCGAGGAGTATATAACAAGTCGATAGCGCGCATTCTCGCAGTAGCGCATTCATTCATACCTGCACTATTGCACAATTCAGTCGCGCGCGTGTTAACTGAAGGGACGTTCTGTGAGTGTGTTCTGTGTTTACGGTGCCTTTGCGTTGTGCAATTTAAAAAAAAAACAAAAAACAAAAACTAAGTAAGTATGTCTTTGATTTTTAGAAAAAAAAAAAAAATTGTCTTTGGAAATTTTTCGGAAAAAACTTCGTTCTCTCGGATTAGCGCGCGAATAAATGTGATTTACACACATAGTTGAACATCAAAAATCGCGTTAATTTTTGTTTATTATCTATATCTATACTTCTATACTAATACTAATAATATTATAAAGAGGAAAGATTTGTTTGTTTGTTTGTTTCGAATAGGCTCCGAAACTACTGGACCGATTTGAAAAATTCTTTTCCCATTAGAAGCCGACATTGTCCCTGATGAACATAGGCTACTTTTTTTAAATTTTATTTTATTTTATTTTTTTGGTTTCATGTGTGTTTTAATGTTTCCGAAGCGAAGCGAGGGCGGGTCGCTAGTGTTTTAATATAGAAATTACAAAAAAAAAAACAATTTCCAATTTACTCCCATTTCTCTCATACATGCGGAATGTGGATCAAGTTTATCTATTATGCATTTTAAGCTACACCGAATGTCAGTAACCTCTGGTTGCGTAATATACTTTAAAACGATGCAATTATTTTTTTCGCTTATTAGATAATCAATGTCGCTTCATATTTTATATTCACTTTGTGATAGATTTATCAGATCTAGTTATTTTATTTGGATTTTTGGCAAGTCGTAGACTTAATTAAAACTGCTTTCGAGACTTAATCTAGCGTTTTTTTATTGTCATTATTTACGACTGATGGTCACATTGTCCGCGACCACGGAAACTATAAGTTAACAAAACGTCCCAAATAATATAGTGACAATATAACACGCAAGATAAAATCATAAAAACAATTTTGCCTCCGAATTGCTTTCTCGTAAAGTCCGAAAAAAAAAAAACTGCTACCAAAATGCAGACACTAAAGCTAAAAACACTAAGCGTACTAAATAAAACAAAGTTAAACGAACAGAATAAGAGAAAAAAAGTAGCGCATTACTTTATCATTGTCAATTTATATGTTAAGTTTGTTAATTCTTGAGTTTTATTTCTAAACCTGAACTCGCAATGCGGTTTTCTAGTAGAAAAATTCAGTTTTATTTATATAATATTCAATATTCAACGGCTTGCAGTTACTATTGTCTCCGGTATTATGTGCACGCAAAATGAAATTTGCATTTGTATACTTTTTTTGGAGATTCAATTAGACATATTTTTTCTGTATTTGAACACAATAAAAAAAAAAAATTATAGAAACTGTAAAAAAAGTATTTAAAAAGTTTACTAGTATTTATTGTCTTTTTTGAAGTTTGTCTTAAAACACCGAATTTAAATACAGACTGCGGCTAAAGACACAAAACAAATCGTATTGAAGATATAGTGGATATCATTTAATATTCTGCTAAATTACAAAATATGCGGCAGAGCTATCACTGTTGTCTTTAAAAAAACTAGAATGATGTAACAGTAAATCTCTTTATGTTTGTAAATATAATAATATATGCCGCGAATATAGAAACCGTGAATAATGAAAAGCATCTTGACAAAGGATATTCGGTTGGGTACCTACATATTGGAATCGTTTCTATCAATATGTATGCACCGACGTAGCTACTGATTAGATCCGCGTATAAAGAAATCGTTAGCCGCGAAAACAGCAATTGGGTCGCATTTTTTTAATCCGCGAATTGTGTAAACGCGAGCGAATGAAGCCGAATAAGGAGCTCTTACAGTATTTTCTTCCCGCTTTTTAATTCAACGTCGCCATTTTGATTCACATGCTTATCTCACAACTAAAATGTACATATATATAAATACGATGCAACATTTTTGAATACAATTTACATAGAGATAACGTAATTATTTATAACATTATATTTATTCGACTTTAAAAATGGTAAAGTCAAAGTAAATACTTTGAAAATTCTTCGAATGGCTTCGCATAGCTTGTTTTTGGATATCAAAAACATATTTAGTGATTTATTCCTACAAACACGTCTCTCGATAGTATATAATCGCAGTAAAATATAATTAATTATTTAAAACGAAATGATAAATTAGCTTTTCCGTAATTCGCAAAAATTAAAAAAATAAATAAAGATCTTTACTTATATTTAACTAATTATCAAGTTCCTGAATATGAATCCCGATGAATATGCAGCACGAAATAACGATTTTATTTTTAAAACACGGAGATCATTAAAAGATTATTGTTACATTCAAATTATATGACATTTAAATTCAATAATTCAAACATTCAAATTAATCTAATCATTTTCCTACTATTATTTTAATTATTGAGCTTTGTCGTCTAGTATCGAAAGCTTTTCGAAAGCCTAGACGGGTTTACGGGCTCAGAATTCACTTGGTATTAAGTGGTGATCGGAGATGATAGACGTAAAAAATATAAATGCAGTCACCCACTTTGTGACGCATTACTGCTTCACGGCAGAAATAGGCAGTGTGTTGGTGCCTATCCGGGCGAGCTCACAGCATTTCCTACCGCCTTAAAAAAAGTAAAAGAAAGTCTTATTTTTTATTTTTTTATTCACCTGATGTTCAATGTCATTGTTAGGACTCTTTTCAAGCTTTACTGGAATAATGAGAACTATGATAATCTTGTCATTCGTTGTATACAAGCTATAGCTTTAGCTTTAATTTAGAGTACCCGGATTATATTGCAGATGTTACAATTTGGCCAGCCCATTGTTGTCCCAGTGGCTCAGTGGTGTGGATTGGGAGAGGCCTATGTCCAGCAGTGGACGACTGTGGGCTGTTGATGATGATGATGATAATGATTGTTGTCCCGGATCACATTGGAATATTTGATATCTTTATACTCGAATACAAATAGAGTATTTTCCGAGTGAATTTGTAAATCGTCGCTATTACGCATAAATATTCTTTGTGTTAATTTCGCTCTGAATAATTTTTTTATAGTTTTTAATATTTACCCTTTTGCGATGGCGCCGTAATTGCTAGGAGTGTCCCTGGAACCTTTCTCAAGTGTCCTTCTTAGGGTCGACGTTTCTATTCAGTCATTTTTATCACGTACCATCCGGCTTTGGGATGAGTTTCTCGGGCGCTATGACATGTTTTTATTTTATTTTTTTATTGCTTAGTTGGGTGGACGAGCTCACATCCCTGATGTTAAGTGGTTACTGGAGCACACAGACATATACAACGTAAATGCGCCACCCAGCTTGAGATATAAGTTCTAAGGTCTCAAATATAGTTGCATGTTCTTCTTCAAGCGAGGCTTGTGGAGAGGACTCAGCCGTTATTGACCGCTTGTGGTATTGTTGATGTCCACGAGAGACGGTAACGTTCACCATCAGGTGGGCCGGATTTTGTCTACAAGGGCAATAAAAAATAATACTATACTTAACTGGAGTGTGTGTTAAAGAGTGGACGGTTAGCGTGGTATGGACATGTGATGCGTAGAGAGAATAAATGCATGTGACTAGGAGATGTATGGAAATGGTAGTGCAAGGTAGAGGGGAAAGAGGTCGACCGAAGAAGACATAGATGGGGTGTGTGAATGACGATATGAGAGAGAGAGTAGTGAGTGTTGAGATGACGGCTGATAGAAGAGAATGGAAGAGAAAAATTCGCTGTGCCGACCCCACCTAGTGCTTGATAAAGTGGAGAAAAAGAAGAGGCTTAACGGGAGTGTATGTGTCTGTTTTTTTTATTTTTATTTTACTTTTAATTATTTTATTTTTTCTGTCTTTTAATTTATTGTAATCTAACCAAATTTGTGAACACACTTAATGATGCTGTGATGGACCGATTATATCCATGAATAGATTTTCCTATAATAATTATGTAAATGATATAAAATTAAATTTGCATCGTTCGATTCTTGATATATCACTTCGATAATACACAAAGAAACCGCGTTGAACTTTTCACCCTGAGCAAATGAAAAACAAAAAATATATATTTCTTTTCTGTTTTTAATCTTCGGTTTCTTTTTGGTTTAATTGTACGTAATAAACAATTATATCTCTAGTTTTTCTTAAATAGACAAACAAAAAGCAGTTTATTTATTTATTTATTTATTACACTTCATGTAAAATTTACATTGGCGGACTTAATGCCTAAGGCATTCTCTACCAGTCAACCAAAGGTAGTGCAGAGCGAATAGTGGTAGGTGCAATGAAATTTATATTAAATAGCTTTATTAAGTTTAGTAGCTTCTCCGGAGACTTTTTTTTATACGGCTACATCAGATAAAATGACAACGCGCAAATAAAAGACCAAAACCTTAAACACTAAACGAATGTAAGCCTTCGGGCATCAGTAGTTATGGTCGAAATTCGTATCTCGGGCGAACACTAGGATGAAGCCTCATATTGTAGTCCTTTAAGTACGTACACTAAACGAATGTAAGCCTTCGGGCATCAGTAGTTATGGTCGAAATTCGTATCGCGGGCGAACACTAGGATGAAGCTTCATATTGTATAGTCCTTTAAGTACGTTGCGCGTATAAATTTTGCACCCAGCTCTGTCGACCCTGAACGAGAATGTCAGGATAATAATAACCCTACGAAACTTGTTCTACGCGTAGAGCGTCTTTTGTGTTTGCGGAATAAAATGAAGTTGCGCGGTATTCTTTGTTTCTACAAGGTTAGGGAATAAGTTTCTTCGCATTTTTTAAGAAAATTCACAACATTTTTTAATATAGTTTATTTACATTTAACTAAAGTATGTAGGTACAATTTTGTTCGATATCTTTTTGCCATTTGTAGGTAGGGACAAGATCCCATTGCTATAGATATGTAGGGGCTTCTGATCAAAATACCGCGACAATTGGTTTTGGCAGTCCTCTCGTGATGTTAACCTGACACTGCCTAAAGAATTGTGAAGAGACCGAAACAGGTGGAAATATGAAGGTGCAAGGTCAGGACTATACGGCGGATGCATTAACACCTCCCAGCCAAGCTCTCTTAATTTTTGCTGAGTGGCTAAAGATGTGTGAGGTCTAGCGTTATCATGATGAAAAACCACATCCCTTCTGTTGATTAATTCCGGCCGCT